GGAAATCACTTTTGAGAATTCTCAAAAGAGGATCAGAGGGAAGTCAGACTAGTGCAGACCGGCGGAAATCACTTTTGAGAATTCTCAAAAGAGGATCAGAGGGAAGTCAGACTAGTGCAGACCGGCGGAAATCACTTTTGAGAATTCTCAAAAGAGGATCAGAGGGAAGTCAGACTAGTGCAGACCGGCGGAAATCACTTTTGAGAATTCTCAAAAGAGGATCAGAGGGAAGTCAGACTAGTGCAGACCGGCGGAAATCACTTTTGAGAATTCTCAAAAGAGGATCAGAGGGAAGTCAGACTAGTGCAGACCGGCGGAAATCACTTTTGAGAATTCTCAAAAGAGGATCAGAGGGAAGTCAGACTAGTGCAGACCGGCGGAAATCACTTTTGAGAATTCTCAAAAGAGGATCAGAGGGAAGTCAGACAAGTGCAGACCGGCGGAAATCACTTTTGAGAATTCTCAAAAGAGGATCAGAGGGAAGTCAGACTAGTGCAGACCGGCGGAAATCACTTTTGAGAATTTTCAAAAGAGGATCAGAGGGAAGTCAGACTAGTGCAGACCGGCGGAAATCACTTTTGAGAATTCTCAAAAGAGGATCAGAGGGAAGTCAGACTAGTGCAGACCGGCGGAAATCACTTTTGAGAATTCTCAAAAGAGGATCAGAGGGAAGTCAGACTAGTGCAGACCGGCGGAAATCACTTTTGAGAATTCTCAATTCTCAAAAGACGATCAGAGGGAAGTCAGACTAGTGCAGACCGGCGGAAATCACTTTTGAGAATTCTCAAAAGAGGATCAGAGGGAAGTCAGACTAGTGCAGACCGGCGGAAATCACTTTTGAGAATTCTCAAAAGAAGATCAGAGGGAAGTCAGACTAGTGCAGACCGGCGGAAATCACTTTTGAGAATTCTCAAAAGAGGATCAGAGGGAAGTCAGACTAGTGCAGACCGGCGGAAATCACTTTTGAGAATTCTCAAAAGAGGATCAGAGGGAAGTCAGACTAGTGCAGACCGGCGGAAATCACTTTTGAGAATTCTCAAAAGAGGATCAGAGGGAAGTCAGACTAGTGCAGACCGGCGGAAATCACTTTTGAGAATTCTCAAAAGAGGATCAGAGGGAAGTCAGACTAGTGCAGACCGGCGGAAATCACTTTTGAGAATTCTCAAAAGAGGATCAGAGGGAAGTCAGACTAGTGCAGACCGGCGGAAATCACTTTTGAGAATTCTCAAAAGAGGATCAGAGGGAAGTCAGACTAGTGCAGACCGGCGGAAATCACTTTTGAGAATTCTCAAAAGAGGATCAGAGGGAAGTCAGACTAGTGCAGACCGGCGGAAATCACTTTTGAGAATTCTCAAAAGAGGATCAGAGGGAAGTCAGACTTGTGCAGACCGGCGGAAATCACTTTTGAGAATTCTCAAAAGAGGATCAGAGGGAAGTCAGACTAGTGCAGACCGGCGGAAATCACTTTTGAGAATTCTCAAAAGAGGATCAGAGGGAAGTCAGACTAGTGCAGACCGGCGGAAATCACTTTTGAGAATTCTCAAAAGAGGATCAGAGGGAAGTCAGACTAGTGCAGACCGGCGGAAATCACTTTTGAGAATTCTCAAAAGAGGATCAGAGGGAAGTCAGACTAGTGCAGACCGGCGGAAATCACTTTTGAGAATTCTCAAAAGAGGATCAGAGGGAAGTCAGACTAGTGCAGACCGGCGGAAATCACTTTTGAGAATTCTCAAAAGAGGATCAGAGGGAAGTCAGACTAGTGCAGACCGGCGGAAATCACTTTTGAGAATTCTCAAAAGAGGATCAGAGGGAAGTCAGACTAGTGCAGACCGGCGGAAATCAGTTTTGAGAATTCTCAAAAGAGGATCAGAGGGAAGTCAGACTAGTGCAGACCGGCGGAAATCACTTTTGAGAATTCTCAAAAGAGGATCAGAGGGAAGTCAGACTAGTGCAGACCGGCGGAAATCACTTTTGAGAATTCTCAAAAGAGGATCAGAGGGAAGTCAGACTAGTGCAGACCGGCGGAAATCACTTTTGAGAATTCTCAAAAGAGGATCAGAGGGAAGTCAGACTAGTGCAGACCGGCGGAAATCACTTTTGAGAATTCTCAAAAGAGGATCAGAGGGAAGTCAGACTAGTGCAGACCGGCGGAAATCACTTTTGAGAATTCTCAAAAGAGGATCAGAGGGAAGTCAGACTAGTGCAGACCGGCGGAAATCACTTTTGAGAATTCTCAAAAGAGGATCAGAGGGAAGTCAGACTAGTGCAGACCGGCGGAAATCACTTTTGAGAATTCTCAAAAGAGGATCAGAGGGAAGTCAGACTAGTGCAGACCGGCGGAAATCACTTTTGAGAATTCTCAAAAGAGGATCAGAGGGAAGTCAGACTAGTGCAGACCGGCGGAAATCACTTTTGAGAATTCTCAAAAGAGGATCAGAGGGAAGTCAGACTAGTGCAGACCGGCGGAAATCACTTTTGAGAATTCTCAAAAGAGGATCAGAGGGAAGTCAGACTAGTGCAGACCGGCGGAAATCACTTTTGAGAATTCTCAAAAGAGGATCAGAGGGAAGTCAGACTAGTGCAGACCGGCGGAAATCACTTTTGAGAATTCTCAAAAGAGGATCAGAGGGAAGTCAGACTAGTGCAGACCGGCGGAAATCACTTTTGAGAATTCTCAAAAGAGGATCAGAGGGAAGTCAGACTAGTGCAGACCGGCGGAAATCACTTTTGAGAATTCTCAAAAGAGGATCAGAGGGAAGTCAGACTAGTGCAGACCGGCGGAAATCACTTTTGAGAATTCTCAAAAGAGGATCAGAGGGAAGTCAGACTAGTGCAGACCGGCGGAAATCACTTTTGAGAATTCTCAAAAGAGGATCAGAGGGAAGTCAGACTAGTGCAGACCGGCGGAAATCACTTTTGAGAATTCTCAAAAGAGGATCAGAGGGAAGTCAGACTAGTGCAGACCGGCGGAAATCACTTTTGAGAATTCTCAAAAGAGGATCAGAGGGAAGTCAGACTAGTGCAGACCGGCGGAAATCACTTTTGAGAATTCTCAAAAGAGGATCAGAGGGAAGTCAGACTAGTGCAGACCGGCGGAAATCACTTTTGAGAATTCTCAAAAGAGGATCAGAGGGAAGTCAGACTAGTGCAGACCGGCGGAAATCACTTTTGAGAATTCTCAAAAGAGGATCAGAGGGAAGTCAGACTAGTGCAGACCGGCGGAAATCACTTTTGAGAATTCTCAAAAGAGGATCAGAGGGAAGTCAGACTAGTGCAGACCGGCGGAAATCACTTTTGAGAATTCTCAAAAGAGGATCAGAGGGAAGTCAGACTAGTGCAGACCGGCGGAAATCACTTTTGAGAATTCTCAAAAGAGGATCAGAGGGAAGTCAGACTAGTGCAGACCGGCGGAAATCACTTTTGAGAATTCTCAAAAGAGGATCAGAGGGAAGTCAGACTAGTGCAGACCGGCGGAAATCACTTTTGAGAATTCTCAAAAGAGGATCAGAGGGAAGTCAGACTAGTGCAGACCGGCGGAAATCACTTTTGAGAATTCTCAAAAGAGGATCAGAGGGAAGTCAGACTAGTGCAGACCGGCGGAAATCACTTTTGAGAATTCTCAAAAGAGGATCAGAGGGAAGTCAGACTAGTGCAGACCGGCGGAAATCACTTTTGAGAATTCTCAAAAGAGGATCAGAGGGAAGTCAGACCAGTGCAGACCGGCGGAAATCACTTATGAGAATTCTCAAAAGAGGATCAGAGGGAAGTCAGACTAGTGCAGACCGGCGGAAATCACTTTTGAGAATTCTCAAAAGAGGATCAGAGGGAAGTCAGACTTGTGCAGACCGGCGGAAATCACTTTTGAGAATTCTCAAAAGAGGATCAGAGGGAAGTCAGACTTGTGCAGACCGGCGGAAGGGGGGCAGATATGATGTGATGTGATGTGATGTGATGTGATGTGATGTGATGTGGTGCCCTTGTCTCGGAAAATGTGAGGCAGGTTGGTAAGGTAAGGGGGGAAGGAAAAAGGGGGCGATTACCCATAAGGTCCCCACACCGGCGCCCAGGAGGCCAAAGAGGACACAAGGGAGGTTGGACTTGGGGCGAAGTGACATGCATGCTATGTCAATTGAACTTTTGAGGATTCTCAAAAGTGAAATTCACATAGGGAGGTCGGACTTGGGGCGAAGTGACATGCATGCAGCACAGAATGAAAGATGTGCTTGTGAGTGCGTGTGCCTGTGAGTGTGTGCTGTCTGTGAGAGCGGGTTTGTGCGAATATGTACACGATGTTGTTTGCGTGTGTGTATTGTTTTGTTTTTTGCTTTTTTTGTTTTGTTTTTTTTTGTTTGGTCTGTCACCCTGATGTACCTTTTGAGAAAGGTCAGTATGTCAGCAGCGCTGCTGTTGCCTTGAGACGGTTGCTGCCTCTTTGCTTCCAGCATCCGCTGGTGAGAAAGGGAGGAGTTGGAGGGGAGAGATGGGGGGGGGTTATACGGGGGAGAGATGGGTGGATGGCAGGGTCAGATGCGGGAGTGGGAGGAGAGTGTTGCCTTGCGACTGTTGTTGGCATAGCGAGAACGTGGTACCTCTGGGCACCGCACTCAACACCTCTCACTCACCTTCCACTCCAGCATCAGCTCACGATGTCTCTCCCTCACTGCACCCACAGTGCTCCCAGGCAGCACACCCAGCAGCGCATGCACCCAGGGGCATAGCGAGAACGTGGTACCTCTGGGCACCGCACTGAACACCTTAGTTGCTAAGTGCTGCCTCAAACCTCTCACCTTCCATTCAAGCATCAGCTCTCGGTGTCTCTTCCTCGCTGCACCCACGGTGCTCCCAGGCAGCACACCCAGCAGTGCATGCACCCAGGGGTGCAGGCACGCAGGGGAGAGGGCCATGAGGAGAAGCTTTCAAGGCACCTCACCTCAAAACATAGTAACACCCAGGCACCGCACTGAACACCTCCTCACCTTCCACTCCAGCATCAGCTCACGATGTCTCTCCCTTGCTGCGCCCACGGTGCTCCCAGGCAGCACACCCAGCAGCGCATGCACCCAGGGGTGCAGGCACGCAGGGGAGAGGGCCATGAGGAGCGATGGGACGCAGCACAACACACCCAAACCTCCTCACCTTCCACTCCAGCATCAGCTCTCGGTGTCTCTCCCTTGCCGCACCCACGGTGCTCCCAGGCAGCACACCCAGCAGTGCATGCACCCAGGGGTGCAGGCACGCAGGGGAGAGGGCCAGGAGGAGAGAAGGGAGGGCCCCTAGCTTCGCTCCTGCCTGCTCGTTCGCCCCGTATGCCCGTGCCAGGGAGGCAGTGTGCGGTGCAGCAGTGTGTGGTGCGGTAGAGTGTGCTGCTGTGTGTGGTGGTAACGTGGTGTGAGGAGGAGCAGGGTCGATAGTGCTACTGTGCGCCCCTAGCTTCGCCCCTGCCTGCTTGTTTGCCTCAGTGTCGGCTGTCGCAGCTGTGAGTGTAGCAGTACTGTCCTGCTGAAACCACAGGTCTTCACCAAAGCAAGCTTCACCAATAGACGTTAGCGTATCTACGCTAGCGTGTACACGCAATACGCTAAACGCTAGCAAATACGCAATACGCAGCCATAATTTTTTTCGGGCAGCCCGGAAAAGTAAAATCGCGAAAAGATGCGGATTTTCTTGGTGAACATTTCGCCGAAGTCGAAATGCAAATCCGCGGTCTATGCAAGCTGGGAACTGACTTCGAAGTTTTCAGGCACATCTGGCTATTCAAATGTCGAATTTCAGGTCCCATCTAGGCATTTGAACCCATCCCCTCTACCGCATTGAAAACCATCTTATCTACGAACTCCAACCTATCAAAATCGAACCCCCAACAAATCTCACGCTACTTACCAGCCAGCCCAACTCCTAACCCGTTATTCCTACCTTGCATTCCCGCTTGCAGCAGTGTCCCCGCGCGCGCACTCTAACTTGAACAGCCTCTCCAACACTACTCCCTATAGCTATGATGTCTACTCCCCGCCCCACCCCACCCGCCGATCGGACTCAGGAAAATGCTAGGGCACGTCTTAGTGAGATGTTTTTTCCACCGATAGGGGGTAATTTTTTTCCACCCTGCCCGAAATGTTTTTTCCCTGCCCGAAAAAGCGTATGCCTGATCCGACCCTCAAGCGTATGGCGTATACACGCTAGCGTATATACGATACGCATATATACGCTAAACGCGTATAATCCATCATAGATTAAATCCACCTCCACCCATCCCTCTTCTCCCACTCCTCTCCCTTCCTCTCGCTTCTCCTTCCCCCCTTCCTCGCCCCTTCCTCCCTCCTTCGCTCCCTCCTCCTCCCACGGCCCCCCATCCCCTCCTCCTCCCCCCACCACTCCTCCCTTACTCCCTCGCTCCCTCCCTCCCCTCGTTTGTGTCACATCCCACAGCGGCAGGAGCAGCATATGGAGAATGGAACGGTGCATGCCTTGAAGGAAGGAGTGGAGATGGGTGGAGCGGTGGAACATGGGAGTGAGAGCACTCCTCAAACCAGCCCAGTGGTTACCCCTAAAAACAGGGAGAGGGAAGTGATGGGTAGAGAAGTGGAGGGTAGGGAAGTGAAGGAGAAGGGATGGGTGAGCAAGGAGTGGAGATGGGTGGATTTTGAGGCGCCTCAAAATACACCTCAATGGGTGTGCAAGGAGTGGAGATGGGTGGAACGGTGGAACATGGGAGTGAGAGCACTCCTCAAAGCAGCCAAGTGGTTACCACTGGAAGAGAATTGCAAAGAAGGGAAGGGAAGGTGAGAGGAGGGAATTGGAGGAGACAGGATGGAGATGAGAGGGATGGTGGAACACGGGAGTCCTCGATCTAGCGGTTGGGGTTGGGAAACAGGGTTGGGGCTGAGAGTGGGAGGGCAGTGGAAGGGCAGTGGGAGGGAGTGGGCAGAAGAGGGATGATAATGGTGCAGTGGGCAGGACTTCTTTAGGAGCACAAAACTCAATAAAAGGAAGTGGTTTTGCTGAGTTATGGAGCAATCGTGGAAGGCAGTCGTGGTTCATGTGTGAGTGGAATTACCTATCAGCATGAATCTCACAAGTGCACAGCTGTTATCGAGGAAACAAAGGGGTTTTTTAGTTAACTCGAAAATCAAGTGAAGGCAGCAGTTAACAATGTGATGAAGGGTGGGAGGGAATTGTCACGCACCGGGCAAACAGCAGCCCCCGGCCAGTGGTGCGGCTGGCGGTGGGAGGTATGGGGCCATGGTGAGAGGCGATGGTGGGGAGTCAGAGTGAACCCACATCAGTTGGGGATGGGGATGGGGAATGTGGGGGACACTCACCAGGCGAAAAGCAGCCCCCGGCCAGTGGTGGGGCTGGCAGTGGGAGGCATGGCTGCAGGGGGCGATCATGGAAGTCGTGTGGTGATTCAGAGTGAACCCACAGCGATGGTGCAAGCAAGGGGATGAGGGACGGAAGGGACACGCACCGAGCAAACAGCAGCCCCCGGCCAGGGGTGCGGCTGGCAGTGGGGGGTATGGGGCCATGGTGAGAGGCAGTGGCGATTCAGTTTGGAGTGAACCCACATCAGTTGTGCAAGGGGATGGGGAATGTGAGGGACACGCACCGAGCAAACAGCAGCCCCCGGCCAGTGGTGGGGCTCGCAGTGGGGGGTATGGGGCCATGGTGAGAGGCAGCGGCGATTCAGTTTGGAGTGAACCCGCAGCAGTTGGGGATGGGGATGGGGAATGTGAGGGACACGCACCGAGCAAACAGCAGGCCCCCGCCAGTGGTGGGGCTCGCAGTGGGGGGTATGTGGCCATGGTGAGAGGCAGTGGCGATTCACTTTGGAGTGAACCCACAGCAGTTGGGGATGGGGATGGGGAATGTGAGGGACACGCACCGAGCAAACAGCAGCCCCCGGCCAGTGGTGGGGCTCGCAGTGGGGGGTATGGGGCCTTGGTGAGAGGCAGTGGCGATTCAGTTTGGAGTGAACCCACATCAGTTGTGCAAGGGGATGGGGAATGTGAGGGACACGCACCGAGCAAACAGCAGCCCCCGGCCAGTGGTGGGGCTCGCAGTGGGGGGTATGGGGCCATGGTGAGAGGCAGCGGCGATTCAGTTTGGAGTGAACCCGCAGCAGTTGGGGATGGGGATGGGGAATGTGAGGGACACGCACCGAGCAAACAGCAGGCCCCCGCCAGTGGTGGGGCTCGCAGTGGGGGGTATGTGGCCATGGTGAGAGGCAGTGGCGATTCACTTTGGAGTGAACCCACAGCAGTTGGGGATGGGGATGGGGAATGTGAGGGACACGCACCGAGCAAACAGCAGCCCCCGGCCAGTGGTGGGGCTGGCAGTGGGAGGTATGGGGCGGTCATGGAATGTCTTGAAGTGACGGAGCAGAACCTCTTTCACTAGAGCAGGGGACGACACTGCCACCACTCGGCGAGGGCCGTAGCAGTAGCTGAAGGAATGGCGGGTGTGAGTGCAGGGGGTACGAGACAGGGATGACAGGGAGGATAGGGAGGCAAGGGACGGTCATGGAATGTCTTGAAGCGACGGAGCAGAACCTCTTTCACTAGAGCAGGGGACGACACTGCCACCACTCAGCGAGGGCCGTAGCAGTAGCTGAAGGAATGGCGGGTGTGAGTGCAGGGGGTACGAGACAGGGATGACAGGGAGGATAGGGAGGCAAGGGACGGTCATGGAATGTCTTGAAGCGACGGAGCAGAACCTCTTTCACTAGAGCAGCGGAGGACACTTCCTCCACACGGCGGGGGCTGTAGCAGTAGCTGATAGAGAGGGTGGGGAAGAGAAAAGGGGAAGCGATGAGATGGAATAGGGGCTGTGGAATGTCTTGAACTGGCAAAAAAGCAAAAAGCAAAAAGCAAAAAAACAAAAAAGGAACCTCCTTGACATGAGTCTACTTTTGAGTCGACTCAAAAGCAAAAAAGGAACCTCCTTGACATGACGCTACCTGCCACCACATGGCGAGTACATGGTCGTAGGTACTCAAAGACCGTAGCAGTAGCTGAAAGAAGGGTGGGAGGGAGACATGGCAGTTGAGAGTCGTGGAAGGGGAGGAGTGGGAGGGATTGGTTGACTTGGAAACTACAGCAGGAGCACCACACATACATGACCGCAGCACAAGACAGAGCACCTTACAGCACCGCACAGAACCTTACACTCACGAGTAGAGGTGGCCGTGTGCTGCCATCCAGTCCACGTGGCACTGATGGTGACCCTTGCTCACGATCTCGATAACATTCCCCACCACCCCCACTCCCACTGCCTGAGTTCACTGGGGGAAGCACCGAACCGCACACCGCACAATACCACCCACAACTGCGCCGTACCACACAGCACCGCACACTCACGAGTAGAGGTGGCCATGAGCAGCCATCCAGTCCACGTGGCACTGATGGTGACCCTTGCTCACGATCTCCCGCACGTTCCCCACAACCCCTAGAATTTGAAGCCACCACGGGACTGGGGGACCTTGCATTTCCCAAAGGCCTCTCACCCTCTCCTCCTTCTCTGCACTTCCCTTATTTTCCTTTCCCTCGTCTCCCCTTGCCTCTACTTGTCTCCCTCTTTTTCCCTCTCCACCTTTTCTCTCCCCCTTTTCACTCATTACGCCTCTCTTCCCCCTCCCTTCCATTTGTCCATCTCCCCCAGGATTTTTTTCCAAAATTCCCGCCGTTGATAGCGGCACGAGAGAGCGCAGGTGTAGAAGAAGCAGTACGAAGATCGCAAGGAGAATCACGTGTTAGAGGGCCCTACGACAGCAAGGGCCCTCGATGACCTTTGACTTGGCAGGTCGGCGCCTAACGACTGAGTCTACTCGGCACCGACGCACGAGTTCGGTGGCGGTCATTAGTGACTACGGGTGACTGTGAGCTACTGCAGCGAACTCGGCGGAATCGGTGCTAGGAATGACGAGTCTTGGGGGTCGTAGGTGCCTTGCTTATGAGGCACGCTGCTCACTTGCTGTGTTGGCAGGAGTAGCGTGCACGGTGAGACATTCCGGTGCCGAGTTGGGTTGGAAATGTGCGGGGCGCGTTCACCCACCTGCACAGCACTTTCGTGTGGGTTGGGTTACTCGCAGCGCCACGCAACAATTGTGCAACTCTTGCTTGCCTATATATGTTTGTGTTTGCTTGTGTGTTTGATAATTGATATTGCAATTCTACTTGGCCCAAATGCTACTTCAATTCTCACAAAGTCCTTAGAGGCAAACGCTACCAAAACTCTACCAAGTTGCTGGCGCAACATCATTCCCATAGCAGAGACTCTCTCGCTATCGCTACGCTCTCTAATATATTCCTTCATCACGGCGACGGCGGCGAGCGAAGCGACGGCAAGCGACTGCGCCGGCGACTGCGCCGGCGACGACGTCGTCGTCGTCGTCGTCGTCAAGCGGATGACCAGAGAGGAGGTTTTCGCGAGCGCGACCGCGACTGCGAACGCTGCGACGCCGACGGGAAACGTTGCGCCAGGGAGCGATACTCGAGCGGCGAGGGAATTTCGCGAACTGCTGTTACCTCTGCTGTTATTATCCATTGCGGAAGATTCTTCATTTGACTGCGAATGCGAAACATTCCTTAGAGAGGATAGAGAGTCGCGGTCAACGGATGTCGTATCAGGGCTAACTCCTTCACCCTTAGCAGCGTCGTTTGGGCCTTTAGGAACTGCTCGTCGCACTGGGTTGGTGAGATTCCTAAAGCCGGTGGCCGATTCGGAAGCCATCACCTTCGGGATCAGGATTCAAACAATCATCAACTGGATCATCAAGTACGGGACGAAGGTACTTAGACAGGAAAGGCAGCTTGGCTTCTTCAATCGTCGTGAGTCTTCGCGAAATGTAGTCTCTAGATTCCTGGGGGTTTTTATTTCGCAAGTGCGTGGCGGCGCGGCACAAAGATGTGTTGGAGCTTGAACTTGCAGTCCCTGGGAGATTTTCTCGAGACTCTCCAATCTTGAATGTCGCCGATTCCCCATAAGCTCGTGGCACAATCGCCGTAGCGGTTTTTTTCTTTCGGATAAAAAACACCTATATTAACTAATTATTGTACAACAATTTGATGGAAACAACTAAGGCCCATCTTGTACCCCCACTGATGCCCCTACAAGGAAAACGGCGTTCCCGCTTATTCCCTCCATACCATCCGCTTCCGCAACGTCTTGATTCATGGGCCCATATTTCAAATCCACATTTCTAGTTGCACCAGCAACACCGGTACTACTTAGCTTCTTATAAGCCTGGATTGATCGATCGGCTTCAACTGGAGGGCCAAGCTCGCTGCCTTTGAGCCAACACTCATGAGCGCGTGTGGTAACCACAAGGTTACACCTTGCATCAAGTTTGCATTGCTCCATACATGCTAATGGATGGAGCGGGTAATGATATGTTAGGTTCGAGGCAGTGGGGAAGTCGATTGCAGGAGGAGCAGGTGCAAAACCGTGACCTGGATGGGAGTGAAAGCAATGGAAAAGGGGGGGGGGAAGGAGGAAGATTGCAAATAAGTGAGACGGGTAATAATATGTTAGGTTGGTGGGGCAGGTGCAAAGAAGCGACCTGGTTCGAGTAGTGGTGTAGAATAGGGGTTTCAGTGGTGAAGGAGTGATGGGCAAGCACACAGGAACATGAAGAATTCAAGAGTGGAAACTAGTTTCATCATCACTCATATCATATGCGATATCAAATGGAAGAGATGTATGCGGGAAACTAGTTGCATGAGGGGAAAAACACAGAGGTTGCAGAGCTGAACACTGAAGCTGAAGCACGTTACTTGCTGGGAGTATCCCCCTGCGTTACCATGGTTTACCATGCGAATCACTGTGCTCTCCTTACCATGAGGATCGATGCAAACGGTCGTCTTCCTCTCCACGTCAACTTGACACACCAGCGACCCGCACCCGCCATTATTCAACGAGCAACTCTCCGACTCCCGTGCCAGCTCATCCCAATACCCCAAGCTCGTCTCCATATACTCGCGCTCGCTCGTCGCATACACTCCCCGATCCACCGCTATAGTCACATTCGGTGCCTCATAGCCCTCGGGGATCCACAGCTTGTCCGCCTGCTTGCTGGCGTAATACGATTGGACGGCCTTGCTGACGCACTTGCCAGCCTGGCAGTGCCCCGTGTAGGAGTTGCCGCCCCAGTCGAAATCCGCGCAGGCGGACCCGTCTTTTTTCTGCCCGAGATTCACGCACTTTCCGGCGATGCACGTGGGGGCAATGATGCATGGGGTGGCCCGGGTGGTCACACACTTGACACAGGCGTCTGGTTTGGAAGGGTAGAGGGGAAAAGAGAAGGGGATAGATTGGGCAGGGGAGGGTTTGAGAAGGGATGCGTGTGGGGGCGATGACGCAGGGGGTTCCTCGGGTGGTTACACACTTGACACCTACTGACTGCCCTCCTTACTGCCCTGCCACCCACATTGCCCTGCCATCCACACTGCCCTGCCACCCACACTGCCCTGCCACCCACATTGCCCTGCTCCTTCTCTGCCCATCACTCACCATCGCGGTACATGGGGTGCACAAACGACACAACCATGTTGAGCACTCCCGAGGGGTCGTACTTGGCCAAGTCCTCCACATTCACCACCGTGTTTAGCAGCCTCACCAGGACACGGGCTCTCTGTCCCTTACCCCCTTACTGCCCTCCATACTGCCCTGCCACTCCCGAGGGGTCGTACTTGGCCAAGTCCTCCACATTCACCACCGTGTTTAGCAGCCTCACCAGGACACGGGCTCTCTGTCCCTTACCCCCTTACTGCCCTCCATACTGCCCTGCCACTCCCGAGGGGTCGTACTTGGCCAATTCCTCCACATTCACCACCGTGTTTAGCAGCCTCACCAGGACACGGGCTCTCTGTCCCTTACCCCCCCCTTACTGCCCTCCATACTGCCCTGCCACTCCCGAGGGGTCGTACTTGGCCAAGTCCTCCACATTCACCACCGTGTTTAGCAGCCTCACCAGGACACGGGCTCTCTGTCCCTTACCCCCTTACTGCCCTCCATACTGCCCTGCCACTCCCGACGGGTCGTACTTGGCCAAGTCCTCCACATTCACCACCGTGTTTAGCAGCCTCACCAGGACACGGGCTCTCTGTCCCTTACCCCCTTACTGCCCTCCATACTGCCCTGCCACTCCCGACGGGTCGTACTTGGCCAAGTCCTCCGCATTCATCACCGTGTCTAGCACGCACTGCTGATTGATAGGAGTGCCCCCACTCCTCACATCACACACAGCATCCCTGCTGCCTGTCCCATACCCCCATTACCCCAACTACTCACCATCGCGGCACATGGGATGACCGAAGGAGACAACCATGTTGAGCACGCCCGAGGGGTCGTACTTGGCCAAGTCCTCCACGTTCACCACCGTGTCCAGTAATCGCACTGCT